GGAGGTGAAATTAACCGCCTCAGTTTCGTTGATGACCTTACGCCAGCAGCGAACAGCGACGAACGACATCGGATTCGCCGCCACAGTGGTTTGCTTGAAGTCATTGAGGGCTTTCCTCCGGATCTTCGTCCTTCGGATCGAAAAGGGAATTTCGGCTTGATCACTTTCCCTTGCTCTAACCATGGTATTTTTCATTTTTCAATCATGAAAATTAACGACTAGATTAAGAGGATTTTCGAATTGCTGATTGGCGAACTCCGTCGAAACACATAAACTGCAATTTTTCCAGAGACGTTCATCCTTTTCTTTGTTTAATCTGGCAGCTTCTTATGAGTTTCATATAAATTGTTTGATGTATAATATAGGAAGTTAAGATGAAGAACCTTTGCAAACATATAATCTAGCATTTTTTCCATACAATCTAGTTATATATAATCTAGATCTGTTTCGTAGTAAAGGCTGTTGTTGTTTTTGTTTGTGACTGCTGATCGATCACAGTTAATTTAATTCTTTGATTCAGTAATGTGTCGGTTTCGTATCCAAGATAATCCCTATCTCATCATCATGATTTTGATTTTGCCGCCTGTTTCCCTGCTTGTTTCTCTTGCTTTCAGAGACATGTGTTCTACTGTTGTCGTTCATGCATTTACCATACTCTGAACTCGTCCAACACGTAATAATATACATCCCAATTTCTGGACTTTTTTGGTGTAATCGCACCAACCCTTGCTTCTAGCGTTTAAGTGGATCCTTAGACACTACGTGGATCCTTGTTATTATAGCACCCGCAGTAGATGGATGCAGAACAAAGCAGAATACGTTGGAATACCTCTGTCCGAATATGTATGTATAAATAGAATCTAACATAACACCTGTTATGTTCTTTGCATGTCGACCAAAACCATTTTGATGTCGCCGGCCGATAAAGTAGCAGACGGGTATTACATGCTAACCTGTAGTATCAACAACTGACTTTCGCTAGCAACCCCTGAAAATTCATGGGTATTTTTATTTAGATATACTTATCGATGTTCTTGAAATGTGCAAGATCTCAGAGTAACGGTTAGCAAGATGTAAATTGGTGCATATAATTGTTTTCCTTAACACAACAAATAATCTCAGAACTAGAAACAAGTTTCGACTGAAACTGCCTGCACCTATCGGCCAAAATTACGTTTTTTCGCCATTGATATGATTTGCATAGTGTCAAGTTTTTCGAACTTACTCGTAAAATGTAAATTGGTATAAAGTTTTGCAGTACGAAGATCTGTTCGTTTGTCTGGTGTTTTTTCCCATCTGTTCTTTTGCACTCCGCTTATCAGAGATGTGTCATTTACATGTAGCGTAAACCGTTGATCGCCGGATTGCAAATCCGTGTTTAAACGTTTGACTGTTTTTTATTTCAGGGAGGAATTGAATTTACATGCGTACCAGTCTCGAGGAATCTGGAGGACGACGAAGATAGCTGAAGCGGAAGTAGAAAAAATCAGTAGTAAATGCTCTTCAGCTATGTTGACATCCGGCGATACTCCTTCGAAACCAGAATCAGTGATAGATGCGTCTGAAAAAACGGTTTTCATGAAGTCCGAACCGATCGACGAAGGAAGTACCGAGGTCAGAGGTTACGATTTCGATGCCGGGATTCACTACGACGACCTGCTCAGACACAGCCTCACCACCGGCTTTCAGGCGACCAATCTAGCGTTGGCGATCGACGTCGTCAACGGGATGGTAGGATCGTATTTCTGATGCAGAGGTGAACGATCATAATTCTTTACTGTTATAGATTAACGCCAGACGTGATTCCACGAACTGCCACGAAGCCCTGAGTTTCTTCGAATACCCGTACTTCAGGCGCGAAAAGACGGGATGTACAATATTTCTCGGCTATACGTCGAACATGATATCCTCCGGCGTGAGAGAAACAATTCGCTACTTAGTACAACACGACTTGGTATGCTTTTTGCTGGTTTATTTATGCGGTCATGTCACGGCCATAACTAAAAATTGAAGGTTTTTTGAGTTGAATACTTCAGTTGTTCTGGAAAAATGTTTACTGTAAAAATGTTGAAAGTTCATTTTAATTCTAGATTGTATGCCATTCATGGTTTAGGGCACCAAACAACTCACATTTTGATAGTTTATTGTCAGCGCGTTTTGCTACGCAGTCGTAAAACGGTCAGCGCACAATTAGTGACAGGCAGCAAGCTACCGTGCATATATAAAAATATATCGTTTTAAAGTGAGTGACATGTCTTTTATTGAGGTAAATACTCCGTACAAAAATGAACACGTATACATATGCATATATTTACACAATGCTGCCGTTGATACCTTCAGTTGATGGGTCCTTCGACAAGACGCGTTTTTAGCCAGTTTATTTTCTACTTTAAATTTTAGGACTTAATCTCAACCATGCATTATGTTGCTGCAAATCTTCGTATCAAGTTGGTTATAGAACCCAGCGTGAATGTTAATTGCTTCGTCACCAGTTTTTTATATTGTTCGTTCAGGGCGAATAAACAATTGGGAACTGTCCTAAAACATCTTAAGTCCATATTCTTTCGAGCCAGGATTATATCTTGCTTGCATTGCCGACGTATGTTGCTGAAACGCATGGAATTTAAAATGATTTTTTGTTTGTCTCAAACAGAGAATGGAATGGTATTGACGTACGTAAAATGCCCTGGTTAATATACTCTATAAATTAATGCAATGCTCTCGTCATAATCATTATTGTTTTCGTCATCTTAGTGTTCTTCATTATTGTCATTTTCAGGATCATTGTCCTTTTCTACTTTCTCATCAACATCACGGTTTGCGTAATCATTTTCGTCCACATTATCAATGCCGTGGAGCACTTAGTCATTTTTATCGCCAAGATCATCATCTTAAACATGTTGTGATGTTAATCGTCTGTTATTTGTTTCTAATGGCTTGTTACTCTCGAATTTTTCAGTGGTTATTCTGTTTGTATTGTTAGTGTTATGCCTCGTGTATAGACGCAATAGATGACAGAAAAAATAGACAAACGCATCGTTCATTTCAGACACCAGTATTATACAAAAATAATTGCAGTAATTATATGGGGCACAGATGTGCTCTAAAATTTGAGGAAAGGAAGTTTTGTAATCGTTGGAATGTCGATCTTCCTTGCAATTTCGTGATTCATTCAGGGAGGACGGGGAGGCTAATTGTGCGCCCTTCATTTCCTGTTTTATGGTGCGTCAATGATTTCCATTATTATGCTCACAGACAGACGCGACTTATTCCTTTTAAAGGCCGAATGTACAGCTCTGTGGCAAGCATATTGCGTAGTCTTCGGTTTCCTTCCAACAGAGTTGTACTCATTTATCAACCTCACAGGAAAAAAGGGCGAGTGAATAATTTGATCAGGGCTCGAACCTCCATACCTTTTGCATTTGAGTCTGATGCTGAGCTAACTGAAAAGCCTGGGCATGCAATATTTTTTTCTATACAGTCGACGCTTCGCACCGTGTTCGATGGTTCTCGGTGGAAGACTGCCTGATAGGTTGTTGATGATCTGTAGATAAACCGGCATGATCGTAAGCGTCAGCTGTTTATGCGCGAAATGATTATGTCGCTTGAGATGTCACAAACAGATAAACTACGTATGAATATTTTAATTGCACACTTTTGTTTATGCAGCTCACGTTTAAGACCATGACGGTACATCTTCAGGTCAACTGCCTCTCAGTATTTCTTTTGCACCGAGAACGCAGGGCACCGTGCGTGGTACGTAACGTCGGTGTAGGAAGAAAAATTGTGTATGCCCGGGTTGCTCAATTAGTAGAGGGTCGTACTCAAAAGCGAGGGTTCTACCCCGAGTCAAATCAGTTTTGGCTGATAACGGCTGGTAGGTCACACTAAAACCTGGTCTCAAGGGCCTCAAACCTGCCACTTTATGATGTGTTCATGGGACAACGTTCTAGATTGCGATAATGTCGATATTATGTTGAGCACGGCTACCCGAACCAGTCACTGCCGCGCGAACATTTCGTAGGTTCGCCGATACGGTACCCCTGTAATTTCCAGATGTTATAATGCTGTGTAAAATGAGTAAGTAATGAAGTGGAGAAATTACCGGTGAAATTCGCGTTCTGTAAAGAAATAATGTACGCAACTACTCTCGTAAGACGATGGACCTTACCCGTTTGGAGAAGAGACGTAACCATTACCATTGACAAGACATTCCCCTGAAGTTATAGATATGAAAGTAATATCAGTCTGTAAAAATGCATTACAATTCATTCGACTGCTTTAAGCAGAATTTACTACCACAGCTTGCATTTGTCGAAACCACCCTCGAAAAATTTAATACGATTATTAGACCCGTGCAGAAATTAATTCACTTTCCATTTAATAATTTTAATAGTTATACTTGTCTAACTGGTTTACACGCTGATTTTCTTCTCCCTGCTCGTAAGGAATTAGAAGACCGTTTGAGTATGATGCAGCATTGTGAAAGTAGAGCGTTTGCGCTGCATCGACGACCTTTGCATCATTGTTAATCTGTGGATCAATGTTTTGTGCTTCGTCCACTGTGTTTCTGAAACCTATATTCTTTGTTTGCTTTATCTACAGCACCACTGTGAATTATTGTTTATTCAGTGCAAAATTGGCCATTGTTCCAAAAATAAATCATTAAATGAAGAGATGCATATACCTTCTTGACACCGTTACTTTTTGCATAACCTCTGCTTAAAGTTTTGATTTACAGGTAGACTGTATTGTAACAAGCGCTGGCGGCGTGGAGGAAGACCTGATGAAATGTTTAAGCCCTACCTTCGTTGGTGACTTTTTTCTGGATGGCAAGGAGTTGCGATCAAAAGGTATCAACAGAATTGGCAACTTGCTGGTACCGAACGACAACTACTGCAAATTGGAGAACTGGATTCTACCGATCTTGGATCAGATGCTGAAGGAACAGAACGAACGGGTAAGTCGATTGCGAAATTACTAGCGGGAGAAATGAGAAAAGCTAAAGTGCATTTTAAGGATATCAACTGGACTCCGTCACGGCTAATTGCAAGACTCGGTCAGGAGATGAACCACTGTGAGTCGGTTTGCTTCTGGGCATGGCGAAACAAAATCCCCATTTTTTGTCCGGCGCTTACGGATGGCTCCTTGGGCGACATGCTCTACTTTCATTCGTATAAAACCCCGGGTCTGCGGGTGGACCTGGTGGAAGGTACTGTATTAGACTTGATTCACCAGTTGAAAAACATCAAGCGTAAAGAGATTTAGACATCCGACTGCTGAATGACACGGCAGTGCATTCTGTCAAAAGCGGAATGGTGCTGTTGGGCGCTGGTGTCATAAAGCATCACATCTGCAACGCGAATCTGATGGTAAGATTGCAATATTACAAGTTTACATCAAACAGGCTTCATTTAAAGATAACAAAAATGTTTTCAGCGAAATGGGGCCGACTTCACGGTGTTCATCAACACGGCACAGGAGTTCGACGGCTCGGATGCCGGGGCACGTCCCGATGAGGCGGTCTCCTGGGGCAAAATCA